TCCAATGGAATATGTTTTTTGAATAATTTTGGCAGCAGAAAAATTGAAAGTGTGATTTTCGGACCAACAACGTTGAGCAACAGAAGACCTCTGTGTTTCCTTTTTTCTAACATATGCCTCATGTTCTTTGACGCGAAATTTTAAGGCTCTCTTAGTTTGGCCAATGTAAATTAAACCACACCGGCAAGGAATCCTATAAATACCCCAGGAATTCATATCCGGAATGGGGTCCTTGAGTATAGAAGTTGGAATTTTATTGATGGGAGAAAAAACAACCCGAAAGTTAAATTTCTGCAAAATATGTGCAACTTTATAGCTAAATGATGGAAAGAAGGGAATGACAACAGATTTTTATAATCTCCTAAAATAAGAGTGTGGCTTTTAGTGTGTTGAGATGAGAATTTTTTAACTGCTTGATTAATAATGTTGGGTGAAAAGCCCCTGTCAATATCTATTGCTTTTAAATAATTTAGTTCTTCATCAAGGGCTAGTTTGGAGGAGCAAACTTGAAGAGCACGGAAAACATAGGAATAAAATGAAGCTAACTTTTGTTTAGTCGGATGACATGATTTAAAGTGTGGTGGAAGGCAAACCGATGAAGGTTTACGGTAAACTGTAGTACTGAAGTTGGATGTGTTACGTGTGACCAGAATGTCGAGAAACGGAAGAGAATTGCAAGTCTCAAGTTCAAAAGTGAACTGAATAACAGGATCAATAGAATTCATTGTTGAAAGAACTTTATTTAAATCATCTTTATTACCTTCAAACAGGGTAAAAGTATCGTCTACGTAGCGGAACCATGCCGGGAAGTTTAAAGTTTCAAACAATTTTGATTCATAATAATGCATGTAGATATCAGCCAGGATGGGACTGAGGGGACTTCCCATGGCTAATCCCTCAGTTTGCTTGTAATATTTATTTTGGAAAACAAAATGTGTTTGTTTCAAAACAGAGTTGAGTGAGAGAAATTAGCTCATCAATTCGATGCAAGAGAAATGAAATTCGCGAAGTCTGGTTTCTAGACTCTTAATGCACCCTCCACTGGGACATTGGTGAATAATATGATTTTACATCAAAAGAAACCATGAGTAAATTACTAGGAGAAATGTTTTTAACCTTTTTTACAAACTCTATTGAATTTTTATGGTGTAAATGTTATTGTCTAATTGAGTGGAAAAATCTAGAAACTAATATTTAGCTAAAGGATACGAGGCAGTACCTAAATTTGATACAATAGGGCGGAAAGGAATACCACTTTTATGAATTTTGGGAAGAGCATATAATCTGGCACCAATTCGCAACAGATGGGATAAGCGAATGTTTTAAGTTGCTTGAAATGATTTGCGAAGATTTGATCGCAGTTTTTATTTTGGATAAGTCCGAAGGTGAAGGATCTTTAGGGATCGGATTATATGGTCCTTCGTTTAAGAGTTTAGTGACACCATCGATGTAAGTGTTCTTATCCATGACGACTATCTGGCCACCTTTGTCGGCCTTTGAAATGATAATATCCCTTTTAGTTTGGGCACCACTGTAGAGACATTAGGTATTTTTGGAAGCAGGCCGGAGAGATGAAAAATTAACAACGCTTTCAGCGGGAATCGAACCGCGGACCTCTGGAGTACCGGCCCAGCGGGCAAAACCACTACACCAAAAGGCACGCTAGGAAGGCGAGAGAAATACCTTACTTTGTGTAAATTAAAAAATAATATAAATATGGCGAAAGAAAACCGGGAATTTATTGTATATTGATAAACAAATTTCATGTTCGCGAGACCTCAGAAAGTTCTTAAAATTCTGGATAAACAGTCGCAGAATTTGTTGTCACTATAAAATTGCCGTTCTAATTGCGGCCTTTGAATAAAGAATACTGGTATATACCGGAAGATAACACCTGTTTGAATATTTAATAAGAAGATGATTTTGTGTTTTTCTAAGTACACGTAATTGAAAGATTCCAATGATTGACTTGCTGATTGGTACTTGAATATGGCAAAGCATCTGAGAGAGATTTGCTTAAGGATAGGGATGCCTTCATGGAGGACTTTATAAGGTAACTGGTTCGTATTCACGTTGTACATGAGAAAATGAATTATGCAAACTCCCTTTTTTGACCTGGGTCGAACCCAGGTCAAAAAAGGGAGTTTTAGTAAGTATTAGTAATTTAGGAGTTTTAGTAAGGGAGTTTAGTAAGTCCAGTATTAGTAATCTTAACCACGAAGTCAGCGGTAGAGCAAAAGTTCCGCAGCAAATGGAAATTCTTCTTGTTAGTATTTTGTCGATTACAGGCAGTTTTATGCCCACCATTAGCTGAGTGGATTAAATTGCTAACACTTGTCATTGTGTCTGGGTTTGAATGCTGGTGAAAGCAGTGCCTGCATGGAGATTTTCGTAGTTTTCCCCGTGTGTAAGATGAATAGAAGACAATATCCTTTAAAAAGGTTTTTCACGAAGTGTTATATCCTCTTAAATGCTGTCACGTGCTTTGCCATAATTAAACAAATTTGAGTGAATATGGTCAAGCATAAAAGGATAATTAAGAACAACGCATTTTAATAATGCATTTTGAAAGATTTGTTGAAGATGGTCTAGATTTTGATTTTATGAAAATAGATCGATTTGCTCAGTAGAATAGGATTTTTATTGATTTCATTGATAGTAAAAGAATTTTTATCCCATTATCATAATGGAATGTAACGTCAAAATAATTAAATTAAAATTCTAATAATTAGTGACTAAACTAACAAGTTGAAGTTTTATAACGTAATTACGAATTTTTATAACGTAATTACAAATTATCTGATACATTTCTAAATATAAATATAAATTATAAATATTTGATCTATCTAAACCTCCCCAATTAAAAATATGTTGAGAAAAATATTAAATTGTTTTCTGCAGTAGTTGCAACAGTTTTTAAAATTTTTATCTGATTAGTTTTCGGCCTTATTAAGCTTACGTTTCATTTTCATTAAAAAAGAATTTTGGTACCCTTAATAATAAAACCTGATGTATTAAATCATTGTAAGGAATTTACTCGATTTAGTTTAAATTAATAGGAATTCATTTATTCAAGTCTATCGCATTGTAAATCTGCTCAGCATAGACGTCGTACATCAGGTAAAATAATTTAATATCTTCTCCTGTCTCAATCCATGGTAGAACTTTTTAAAGGAAATAAGCTGGAGTCATTGATCAAGCAAATCAGTATTTAAAAATTTACTTGAATTTTAACCCGCCTCCATCTTTTTCTAAGTTGTCTCCGTTCGTATATATGCACTTGGACAATAGTTGAAATATTTTTCGGAAGTTTTTAATTGAAATATCTCTAGCAGTTTTTGCCTGTCAACCTGAATGCCTTCTATTCAGTCACTGTTGCCGTCGCAATAAGTTCTCATTCATAATTATGACTGGGAAACGAAGCAACAGATCTTAAGGTCTCAACGTCCTCAGTGCCAAAGAGACCATAGAGAAAACTAGAAATACAGCAACTAGGATTTTGATAACTATTTTGGAATTGGGATTGTATGGGATTTGTAAGGCAGACAATCGAGAGTTTTAGTATAGTTCTTGAGGCAGTTGAGAGAAAGAACATTTTTGCACATTTAGGCCACATCGCAGAGACGGAATAAAATCAGTTTATAAGGTATTTTCTCCCTCCTTTCGGCATGCCTTCGTGGTGTAACGGTTAGCACATTCGGCCCGTATTCGACAGGTGCAAGTTCGAATCCCGGCGAGGGCATTGCACATTTTTTACGTTTCCTACTTCAAAAAATCCTAATGACACTACAATGGTGTCCGAACTAAAAAGATGGGGGATGATGATTCTTCACCACCATTGGGTCTCCTAATCTCCAGTCGCCCTTTGAAATTTTCTCGCTCCTTTCGGAATGTCTTCGTGGTATAATGGTTAGCACACTCGGAGCGTGCTGGAGATGTCCAGGTTCGAGTACTGGCGAGGGCTTTGCATATCCTTCACGCTTCCTACTTCAAAATATCTTAATGACTCTACAAATTAAAAGTCTTCTAGATATCAATCCGCGGACAGAGCAAACACTGGAAATGGGAAAGGGGACTGTTTAGAAAGAGACACAAACAAAACATTGACATTGCAGCAAGATATCCGGTTTTTTTTATCAGATTTTTCTTTTTTCTGACACAGAAATTACTTTAAGTAAATTTAAAAACACTTAAAGTATTTTTTGAAAAAGGTGTAAACGTAAGCGGACTTATGTTAAAGCCACTATTTATTACAATGTGTTCATGCTTTTAACGAGATTAATAATATTATCGGAGATGATGTTGAATAACACTAAGTCAACAAGCTAATAAGCTAATAAGCTAAGCTAACAAGCTAATAGCTAATAAGCTAAATTAACACAAAAAATACTAACTTTATTAAGCTATAATACGGTCCATTTTAACATCGCCTTAGAGACGAGGATGTTCGGTAACAAAGAATCAAACTTGTTGGTAACATTTGAAAGAAATTTTAAGAAAAACGTATTTGGCTCAATGAAACTCGATGACACCAGAAGACAAAAATTTAACTGCGAACTCTACAAGATTTAGAAAAATAGCTATTATACAATCCATCAAGATCAATAGAATTGCATTTGGTGGATACATAACAAGACTGGAATATGAAAATCAGTAACAGTTAAAATTGTTAATCGTTAGCCAACAGGAAACAGAATGCCTGGAACACCTAGGCTGAGATGGGCTAGAGGACGTTGAAAATGATTTTAAACTCATCATAAACGCACAAAACTGAAAATTCCTAGCTAAAAGCAAAACATACTGGAAGAATATTTTGAAGCAGGAATAGGTCCATGATGCGCCTATCGTGCCGTTGGTGACGCCGATGGAGGAAAAAAAAAATCTATAGTTATCGTAATTGTTATTTTTATCATAGTCAGTAAAATGACCTAAATAAAGTCATATTTTATAACCTATGCCTTGGTTTCTGTTAAATAACAGAGAATTATAATTATGCTTACCTGACAGAAAAGCAGGCGTAACCGCATTGTAATTTTTATCTTCTATGAATATACTCGTAAAAGCTGCTCCAATTATAAAAGGAATGCAAGTGATGAACAAGAGTGCGTATGCAGTAAATTTAGTAGTTTTAGCATATGTCAGCATGCATGAAACAGAAGATACTGACGAAACGAAACTACCGTGGCTATGACCTTCCGTAGGATATTGTGTCGGTTCCGGGCATATATCAGCTGCAAATGGTCGTAACTCATGATGCTCTATTTCAATAGCTTCTGTTGCTTCTCCCTCCATTTTTGCCTTACGCTGGAATACAAATTAATAAATTCTATTTTCGAGTTACGCAAAGCCAGGGGAGGTAGCGAATAAGGAGCTGATTATCTTTATTTTAATCTATATCAGTATATTTTGAGATCAGGGAAAACAATCGAATTTTATCAGTCAACGAGTAAAGTTCGACACGAAGAGAATGAAACTATAAACGCATTAGATATTGTTTGAATTTTTATTATTAATGACATCTAGATATTTTTTTAGTAACTGAAATATTATTTATGTGTGTCTGAATTTCCGTACTTATTAAATTTTAAACTTTTTTCAGTGTTAACATATTATGAAAATATATTTCCCAGGAAAACTGAAGTCTTGTTATGTGATAAAGAGGAAAAATTATTCTCTAATATTTTTCGGCATGAGTAGGTTACTAAAAGTTTCAAGAAAGTTACATTTTTGCTGTGAGTAGAGAAGATTCACAAAACTAAATACAATTTTAATGACAACGTATAAGTTCATACTTAGAGTATATATGTTTATATGTTTAGGATATATGTATATATGTTTATATGTTATGTTTATGTTTAAGATTCGTTTAAATTTATGTTTATGCAGTTCCCATAAATGCGAACTATTTGCATACAAAGATTATAAGGTAATATTTCTCCCGCCTTCTTAGCATGCCTTCGTGGTGTAGTAAGCAGTACACTCGGCGTGTATTCGAGAGGTTTGTGGTTCGAGTCCCGGCAAGAGTAGTGCTCATTTTTCATCTATCCTACTTAAAAAAATATCTAATGTCTCTACAAGATAATACCTTCATTTAATTTCTCCATTTTTAATAATGTCTCGGAATTTGTTAAAAATCACCCCTTTTAGTGCTATGTTGTTATCTACATTTTTTTAGTCCACGGATTTTTATCTCATTTGTGTCTCATACTCATTTATCAGCCATGATTATAGATGTGTAATTTTTCTTCAGAATATTATTTTTTCAGGACTCTTGAGCACATATATAGCTTTATTTATCACAATTTAATTTTAACCTATTTTTTCCCTCTATATTTTCTAGGCATTTTTATTCATCAATATTTTCTAATTTTTTAATCTTATATTACTCCCACGATGCGCTTATTTTTATTATAATATTTTCGTCCCCGAAATTTTATTTACTTGCATCCAAAGTAAGCGTATAATAATTAGTAAGAGGACTGTTGAAACTTGAAAATTTTTTGAATTTTTTTACTGACTTTTTTTAAGTAATTGTATAATAAGCTCACGTTTTCTTTTCTACTGTATTTTACAGGATGATCATTCAGCTAAATAGCAAAAATGAATTTAATCATTCAATTGAAGCAAAATAAGGGGAGGATTACCAACAAATGAGAAAGCTTTGTCGTATAAGCAAGAAAGCTTTATTTGTACGAAAGGTATTTTTAAGAATGTTTACTTATTCGAACACATTTTGCAATGGTACACACTTTTTAGATTGTCGGTTAGGTTAGTTGATTAAGGCAAAACAACTCAAGAGCTATCTGCTTTTTAAATTATCAGTAGAGCACGGATAAGACAATCTGAGACCCTAAGCTAGAATTCTTTCAGGGGCCTTCTTAAGCAGGTAGTCCTCGCGTGTATTGTCGAAATCCAAAAAAAAAAAAAAAAAAAAAAAAAAAAAAAATGTCTCTTTCTCAGTTCTAATGAAGTAAGAAACATGATTATGAGTAGTTATAGGATGACTTTTGGGTCCCTTACAATATGAGGGGAGGGGGGTTAGCCATGTCTAGGGGCCAATCAGGTTCTAAATGTCCGAAATTTGATGAAATATTTCTATCTCTGTTACTAAATAATGAAGAATCTGTATATATCTGTATGCATGTATGTTCCTCGCACTGTGTAAAAAGCCACCACTAAATCATGAACAAATTCTCCACTAGAACATGTACACCTCAAGGCTTAAGTCGCGTAAAAGTAATTCGATTTTTTTTTTACTTATTTCATATCCAGTTCGAATTTAATGGATTCTTAATTAACTAATAAATCCAGTTCGAATTTAATGTATTCTTAATTAACAAATTAAGTAATTTAAACTCATCGTGTTGCCATAGTGCAAAGCGTAAGGTATTTTATAGTTCCAATTTAATCAGAAAAAATCAGGGATTTAAAAGAAATGTATTTTTACTCGCTAAACGTAAGACATTTATCTTCCAAATGTAAATAAATTAAAAAATAATGAATTCCCATTGGCTGATATAAAACATTTTTTATCTTCTACGCGTTAGTCTGTTGCCATTCGGTGAAGCATTAGATATTTAATTTTCTCTTCAAATTTAATCTGTCTGTTATTGATTAACAAATTAATCTATTTAAAAGAAACAAACGCTGCTTTTTATTTCTGTTATTATTATTTATTACTATTATGAATGACTACCCATGAAATTAACACTAGCTCTACTCGTTAAAACATTTACACATTTTTATTATTATATTAGTACCTGGATTGAAGCGGCTAGTGTTTTTAAATAGTAAAACATAACTTCCCCAGGTGAGGATCGAACTCACAACCTCCGCATCTCTCACACGTACTGTTGTATAAGTACGGCGCGCTAACCAGTTGCGCCACTGGGGACACATTCGAGATCCCAATATTGAATCATAATTCATAAAGTAATTCTATAAGTAAAATTCAGTTTTAGAGGAAGTAAAATATTAAAAGGAATCTTAGCTGTGTTATCTAAATTATGAACAGAAGAGTTATAAAAATATTGTAGTATAAATACACTTAGTTGCACGGTATGTTTTTAAAAATGAATTTATATAATCATAAACACAGTGGCTCTCCAAAGTCCTACAGACCTTGGTGGTTCTCAACTATTTTTCTTTGCTCCACACATCCCTTTCACCAGTACTACACGATCATTCCCCCCTCTCTCCATTTCTCAGCTTTAAAAAATACATATACACTTATTAAAATTATTTTTAATGTGTTTTATAAATTAATCAAGATAAAATATAAAAAATGTTGATAAGTGCCAAAACTTTAAGAAAAGTAGTTTTCTATATTCATGAAATAAAACTAAGTATTTAGCAATTAAATAAAAGGCTGACCCATTCTTCACACCCGAAACTATGAAATCCCCCTTCCCGGTTGAGAACCCCTGAGTTAACAATCTACTTCAAATATTGCAAGTCGCCTGATAAACTTAAAACATTTCCTTCTGCATAATAACCTGAAATACCTTTAATTTCTGCACTTTTTTTTTGTAATATTGATAGCAAGGTAAGAGGGGGAAAAGGTGATAAAATAATCTGAAGTATGTTATTTGTCTTTGCATGCAGTTTTTTTACAAAGGAAGAACGAGGTTTTAATGTATGACGAATCTTAGTCATCCTAGTAAATTGCTTAACGTTAAGTTCTCGCTAAATAGTTAATCATCTGATAGAAATTAAACAAACTTTATTTTCCTACCTAATTTATTATTTAAGTTTCTTTAATTAAATAGTAATATGACTATTTCAAGCATAGTCAGAATCGACATATTTATTTTGAAATCCTACTACTTCAAATAATTAATTACATTGATTAGATTATGGCAAAGCCACTAGGGCAATTGTTACTAGGGCTACACGTGTGAAAAATCACAAAAACAATCATGGAAACAGTTATTTGTCAGTATTTGAATTTCTGTTAAACAAGTTATAACTTATTTAAAAATAACTGAAAATAATAAATTAAACGTGAAAGTAACGTAATTTCTGTCTGTTACTGGGTTAATTAGTTAACGAGAATTTAAGCGATGCAATTGATTAGAACGACTAACATTCTCCAAGTAGCATACTCGGCGTATATACGAGAGGTTTAGGTTTGAGATCCGGGGGGGGGGCCAATGCTGTAATCAAGTAATTGGCTTGCTGTATCCAAATAGCCAATCAAAATGAATATATATGTTTTTGTTAATTTAATATATTGTGATGCTTTTGGTACTTTTGTCATGTAGTACTGCTATGAAATTACATACTTGTTGTTATAATACAGGTAACATTAGTCATGATACATGAGTGAGAAATATGAACAAAAAATAAATAAAAGTAATAGTTTAGATTATATTGGTCACTTATATTGGTTTGCAAGACATTCGGTTTTATAAAAATATCTTTTTATACACATGCTAATATACTGCAAGTATGTATCCTAACGATACATATTATATACAGTCAAAAGTCGTTAATCCGGACTCGTCGGGACTTCGGCGATTCCGGATTATCGATTTTCCGGATTATAGATCATCAGTTTCAATCTGGTAAAATGGCATGAAGAAATATAAAATTAAAAATATGAAAACCGTAATTACGAAATAAAGAACATTATGATCTAAAGGGTATCAAAAATTTACAAAAAAAAAAAAAGCTTAATATTTATTTGTTTACTTATTAAACATTTCTTTCAAGTAAGTTGTTAAGTTGCTTCGTTTTTTATGTGATAATACATTTCTTTAATTCTATAACATACATAATTTCTGTCAGTTACAAAGTTCCGCTGTCAAGTCCTATATTGATGTGTCGAGAATACCGACTAATTTGTCAATCGAAATTTTTCGTTTTCAATAACCTCTGTCACTTCTTCGCTATCGGAAGCGATTATATGACGAGGCATTTGATTTAAATCATACAAAGACGGGTATATCGAAAATGAAATACTACATTTAGTAAGCAATATAAGCCAAATAAATAAAAAAATCTGCCCTGAAGATAGGAGAGTGCTGACAGATCAACTTCCATTCATTGCGCGCGGCCGATAAAGATAAACAAAGTTTAGATAAACAAACGTTAAAGTTTAGATGAACAAAGGATATGCCTTTATCCATTTTTGCAGCAATTCCACTTTTTGTTTAATGAACTCAAACATACTTTCGCTTTGTAGATCCGTACATATTAGTAAATATAATCGGAAAATTCTATTTGACATAATCAAAAAAGTTCAAGTTACTTTTAAAATTGCTCTAACAGTCTGCAAAAAATAATAAGCCGGCTCCAATTCGAAGATTAGAACAACGCAATCTGCAACATTAACTTGAAATAGA